CACAACACCACCACTCACCACCACCACACAACACCACCACACACCACCACACAACACCACCACACAACACCACCACACAACACCACCACGCATCACCACCACGCAACACTACCACACCACCACCACACAACACCACCACACACACTACCACCACACAATACTACCACACAACACCACCACACACACCACCACCACACCACCACACACAACACCACAACAACAACACCACCACGCAACACTACCACACACCACCACCACCACACAACACCACCACACAACACTACCACACACTACCACACAACACCACCACACAACATGACCGTGACCAATTTTGACTATTTCTCCTACCCTAGCGACACAGCTGTTACCATCTCGTGGTCATTATTTTTGTTGTCAGAAGTTGTGTAGTAAACGTCAGCTGTGATCAACCAGTGACGCGTGTACAGCTGTGTGGCTCAGCGGCCCATTGTTGTGCTGCCCTGGTCTAATTTAACCTAATCTAACCTAAACCATAACCTAACCTAACTTATAACCAAACCTAACCTAATGTAACTTAAACTAACTTAACCTCTTATCTACTTAAGCTAACCCAATCTAACTTAACCAATAACCTAACCAAACCTAACTTACCCTAACTTTACCTTTAACCTACTTAACCCAACCCAACCCAATCAAACCTAACCTAACCTAACCTAATTAAACTAACCTAATACATTATGCAGATATCTTAGCGCAGTCACATTCTCTTATATCTTAACCTTGCTTAAAGGTAACACCAGATTATCTTAATATAACATCGCGAATAATTTAATGTAAAGAAAACGTCTTTTATTCTCTTAACATTTATAACCCAAAACATAAACCGATTATTTAGCTGCTGTTTTAATTCTTATTTAAAAAAAATAACCTTAATATTGAACTAAAACTTACGTCATTGTATAAATTAACATTCAGTCACAAGTTTTTATTTATTTGAGCTTAAACAAACAAAAGGGAATAGATAACCTTAATAAAATCTTATAAAATCCGATTGACTTAATAAAAAAAATCGTATTACCTCAATAGAAATCTATACAAAATCCGATTACTTTAATAAACACACATATTAATCCGATGACTATTAAAACAAATACATTATGTTATTCCATTCCTTAAACTAACAAACAAATATATAAATAAATGAAGAAATTTTGCAAATGACATATAAATTATAACACTGAAACCCAACTGTAGGCGACGATACGACAAACAAAAACATAAACTACAGTCGAAAAATACAGTGTTCTTGCTATTCTGTATTTAATCTCCTACAATGTGATTATGTATTAAATAAATAGATAAATAAATAAATCTAAAATATCGAACGATTATTTTCAGTCAGATTGTTTACAAGAAATGATGAGCTGTGCAAAGTAAACGAGGAAGGACACCATGTCATGACTGGATAGGGACACCGTGTCATGACTGGATAGGGACACCGTGTCATGACTGGATAAGGACACCGTGTCATGACTGGATAAGGACACCGTGTCATGACTGGATAAGGACACCGTGTCATGACTGGATAAGGACACCGTGTCATGACTCGATAAGGACACCGTATCATGACTGGATAAGGACACCGTGTCATGACTCGATAAGGACACCGTGTCATGACTGGATAGGGACACCGTGTCATGACTGGATAAGGACACCGTGTCATGACTGGATAGGGACACCGTGTCATGACTGGATAAGGACACCGTGTCATGACTGGATAAGGACACCGTGTCATGACTGGATAAGGACACCGTGTCATGACTGGATAAGGACACCGTGTCATGACTCGATAAGGACACCGTATCATGACTGGATAAGGACACCGTGTCATGACTCGATAAGGACACCGTGTCATGACTGGATAGGGACACCGTGTCATGACTGGATAAGGACACCGTGTCATGACTGGATAGGGACACCGTGTCATAAGTAATCTAGCTTTATGACATGATGACTCACTTTTGCAGGCACAATACTTTGCGTGTGAGTTGTCATGAAGCAGCTCGAGGTCCATGACAGGTGAGGCGCATTCCTCTCATGACAGGGAGGTTAAGCTACCACCTGTATGATTCAATAACCCTATGGGAATTACTACTGTACCTGTAATTTCTACCTTAGCTATATACTTAAACTGGAATTTCTTAGTGTGAATATTTATGGCCTTAGTGGATGACGCGGTACAGTCGACCTCTGGCAAGACCAATGGCTGACACTGTTGGTTGGGAAATACTGTTCTGAAATATAGCTCCTGTGTTCTCGTATTTTATCACAAATAAATTAAAGAAGGACTATATAAAAACAAACCACAAGTCCTCAGGAGAACTTTGTTAATGTTTAAAAATTTGTGGAAATATTGTCAAGCTGTGTTAGTTACACCTGACAGCCATCCGGTACACCTGAACTGTTGTTTGAGGCGACATCTAGCCTGTCATATATCTTAATTAATGATTATCAGCTGCGTGTGTCATTAATTCCGCTCAGGTAGATATCACACCTGTGTCGCGAGTATGCGGGGTGTATCAGCGCCATGTCTCCCAGTTTAAGGCTTCGTTTGTCATTCTATTCTGATTCAAAAACTGTGTTAATCTCGAACTCAAAACTGTGACCAGGAACACACGACTCCACATCTCAACAGAGCAACCTTAAGGAACTCGTTTTATTATAATATTTTAATGTAACGCAGGTGAGGTTTCAAAGGACACCTGCTGAGATTGGCATGACAACTGCACGAGGATTTGATTATACTGACACATCAAATGGAAGGAATTCATAACCTCTGTGAGTCTGCCTTCATAAAGAAACTATGAAGGGAATATTTGCACAGCTCAGGCAGGTATGTGAACGGGGAGTACAGTAAACGACTTGTGAGAGAAGATAACCTGTTGAACGACGGGAGGACGTGGTGTGGGACCAAGAACTCATTATTCCCTTGAGGTTGATGGTTTAACCCCTTTAAGATTTGAGGATTATAGCTTACAATATTGCCTTTGGAGGGTTAAAGCTTAAACAACCTTCATCAAAGGGTTATACCTTAGCTTAAACCATCGTCCTCAAAGGGTTATAACAAACCATCGTCCTCAAAAGGGTTAATACCTCAGCTTAAACCATCGTCCTCAAAGAGTTATAACAAACCATCGTCCTCAAAAGGGTTATATCAGCTTAAACCATCGTCCTCAAAAGGGTTAATACCTCAGCTTAAACCATCGTCCTCAAAGTTTTAAAAGTTAACCGATCGTCCTCAAAAAGTTACAGACTACACCACACGTCTTCAAAGGAGTAGAATCGTCGCATTAATGAATACGTATTCAGACGTTATGGCCAGCGGGTCGTACGACAGAAGACGGAGTCGCTCAAGAAGACATATGGTTGCATGGTTGGTGGCACAAAGAGGAGAGGCAGACCGTGTGAGAGATGAATGAAGGGTGTGAATGAATGAGTGTGTGTGTGTGTGTGTGTGTGTGTGTGTGTGTGTGTGTGTGTGTGTGCGCACGCGCGCGGATATTTCAGAAGGTGTTGGCCGGAGGAGTGATTGAAGACGGTGTGGTGGCGGAAGGTGTCTTGCGAGACGGAGAAGAAGATAAATGACTAGTGGAGATCCTCTTACCTGAGACGTCCAGTTTCTGTACACAAATAACAACCAGTAAATGACTTAATATAAACAGTTTATTATTTTAACGCGAAACTATCAAGTCGAAGATTAATTTCATTCTTTTAGAATATAATTATGAGACCAAATATATGCATTTAACATATTTTAATGTTTTTAAATATAATTAAAGATCAAATTGATGTATGTTAATAAACTTGATACGTACCGTAACGTAATCTAACCTAACCTGGGCCAGAAAGGGACCATTGGCGATGACCATTTTCGTGGCACCTTACGCAAGCATAGGATAACACGTCTCGTTGTGGAGCAGTGACAGGTAAGGTAACGGTACTAACCAACAGGTAAAGTAGCGTTATTAACCAACAGGTAAAGTAGCGTTATTAACCAACAGGTAAAGTAGCGTTATTAACCAACAGGTAAAGTAGCGTTATTAACCAACAGGTAAAGTAGCGTTATTAACCAACAGGTAAAGTAGCGTTATTAACCAACAGGTAAAGGTAGCGTTACTAACCAACAGGTGACATTACTAATTAACAGGTAAGGTAGCGTTAATAGCCAACAGATAAAGTTACTAATTAACAGTTAAGGCAGCGTTACTAACCAAAGGCCAGCAACACTAATTATCAAGTAACACAACATCAGTCTCACCGTCACAGAGGAAGAACAGAGCCACACCTGTCTCGTCTACACCGGGTGCCCTCCGAGACGACCTGGACACAATCTCAACACGGCCGTGGGAGTGTGTACAAACATACTGCTTCTGTGTACATTGTCTCTCTCTCTCTCTCTCTCTCTCTCTCTCTTTACCTTCTCTCTCCCTTTCACCCCTCTCTTTCTCCCTCTAATCGTCTCAATTTCTCTCTTTCATTCTTTAATCTTCTCTCTTTAATCCTCTCTATCTTTCTAATCCTCGCCACCTCTAACCTGTACTGTCTCTCTCTCTTAGGGTAATTTTCCACTAATAAAGAACATCGTTGAAGGTTTCTTAAAGACATTCTCCTTCGCCAACATTCTACTACAGAAGGAAATAACTCCTTCATTGGTCTTCAGTTGAGGTTCGAATCGGCTTCATGGGGTTCTGAGAGTAGTTTAACCCACTGAACCACGAAACAACACTGATTCACATTTGGATGGTTCAGTTTCAGATTCGAATTACTATATACACCTGCCGCATCTACACCTGCCACCTTCAGTGCCTCAGGTGTGGTATTCAATTTACAACTGCAACCTCCAGGATTTCAGGTGCAGTATTCATTAAACACCTGTCACTTCCAGTACCTTTGGTGTAGTACTCATTATACACCTGCAACCCCTACATTTGCCACCTCCAGTACGTCAAGTGTGTACTCACCATACACCTGCCGGCGACGCAGATGTGGTTGGAGTCCAAAGAGCCACAGCGGGTGCCATCAATCACAGTCTGGTTGAGTGTGGCATAGAAGCTGAGGCCCACAGCACGGCAGTTGAGGGCACAGGAGTCAGGTGCTGTGGGGAGAGTGAGGGTAGAATAAGTCCTAAAGTTAAAGTAACATTACAGGTGTACATACTGGCATAGTAACATTACAGGTGTACATACTGTCATAGTAACATTACAGGTGTACATACTGTCATAGTATCATTACAGGTGTACATACTGTCATAGTAACATTACAGGTGTACATACTGTCATAGTAACATTACAGATGTACATACTGTCATAGTAACATTACAGGTGTACATACTGTCATAGTAACATTACAGGTGTACATACTGTCATAGTAACATTACAGGTGTACATACAGTCATAGTAACATTACAGGTGTACATACTGTCATAGTAACATTACAGGTGTACATACAGTCATAGTAACATTACAGATGTACATACTGTCATAGTATCATTACAGGTGTACATACTGTCATAGTAACATTACAGGTGTACATACTGTCATAGTAACATTACAGGTGTACATACTGTCATAGTAACATTACAAGTGTACATACTGTCATAGTAACATTACAGGTGTACATACTGTCATAGTAACATTACAGGTGTACATACTGTCATAGTAACATTACAGGTGTACATACTGTCATAGTAACATTACAGGTGTACATACTGTCATAGTACGGCTCCCAGGTGTAGAAGCGACGGTTGAAGGGCGTCTTGTTGAAGGAGGCACACTGCTCCCTCCTGAAGTCTGAATACCCGACTCCACACACCTGCAACACCAACCCCAAAACACATGTCAATACACTTTACACATCTGCAACACCATCAACACTTAAGTTTATAGCAACACTTACGTAAATACATTCTACACCAACACTCTCAACATCTACACCACCTTTACATCCACCATAACACTCCCAATACACCCAACACCATCACATCTACACCAATACACTACACCTCATCCTCTCCTTAACCAACACATTACAATTCTCTTTCAACACCTACACTACCACTACACCTGCACCACAAAAACACCTACACCATAGCAACAACTACACCACCACTATACCTACACCACCACTATACCTACACCACCACTATGCCTACACCACCACTACACCTCCTTCTCATCATAACCAACACTACACCTCCTCACCATAAACAACACTACACCTACACCACCACCACCACTCACACCCACACCACCACCACACCACCACCCACCCACACCACCACACACCACCACCACACCCACACCACACTCCACCTACACACCACTACACCACCACCACACCCACACCACCACTACACCCACACCACTACACCACCACTCCACCTACACCACTACTACACCACCACTACACCTACACCACCACTACACCTACACCACCACTAAACCTCCTCACCCTGACCAACATAACCTCCATTACGCATTCATGTGTAGTGTCTAGCGGCTGGAGACAAGACGCAATATTTACGCCCCAGATATTCAAATGTACTTGAGTCTCAGCGACAATTAGAAGCCACTAGGGGGTCGCAGGGCCAGTGATGTGTTAAGATAAGTCAGGATGTAATCTTTCCGTCGCGGGATGTGCTGGACATGAGTTACACACACGCCAGGGTTCGATCACCAGTCACACAGGATCAAGATGAGGGCGACACGCATCCCTGTGTTATCAGCTGTGATGTTTGTGTCGTGTGACAGGTACGAGGACAACCGGTTGTTGAGCTGGATTCTCTACCACCTGACCTAACCTAACCTAACTTAACCTGACCTAACGTAATGTAACGTAACCTCAACTAAATTAACCTAACCTAACCTTATCTTATCTAACCTAAACAAACCTAACCTATCCTATCCTACCCTTACCTAACCTAAGCCACCTAATTCAACCAACGTTTACCTAACCTGATTAAACCTACGTTTACCTAATCCCAACCCATGCCACAAAAGGCAAATTTAGACTGCATTCCACCTAAATGTACCAAACTTATCTGGAGAAAAGGTTAGGACGCCCCTGCCTCTCACACTGACTCTGCCCTGCCCATACTACACCCTCCCCGCCCCCCGCCCACACCAGACCCCCCTGCTCCCCCTGCCCACATAGAACCCTTGTCTCATTCACACCCAGAGACCCTCCTTGCTACTGCCACACTAGAACCCTCCTCCTGCCCCCTGGGCCCACACTAGGACCCCTGCCCCTGCCCACACTAGAACTCCCTTGCCCTGCCCACACTACAACCCCCCCTCCCTGCCATATTTGCTCACATCACAGACCTCCCCAGAGCCGTACCTGGGTGTTGCACAGCTGGAACCGTTTGTAGAGTCCGACACAGCGACTTCCGCCTCAGCGACTTCCGCCTCGCTCCCTGGAGGAGGACCTTCTTCTGGTCCTAACGCGCCCACGCCTGAGGGAGAGAGACAGTTGGTGAGGGAGGGAGACAACTGGTGAGGGAGGGAGGGAGGAGGAAGGGAGACACAGGTGGTGAGGTAGGTAGGGAGGAAGGGGGGAGGGAGACCTAGCTAGTGAGATGGTAATGGAGAGGAAACAGCTGCTGAGATGGTGAGGGACGAGATGAATGTGGTGAGGTGTGTGTGTGTGTGTGTGTGTGTGTGTGTGTGTGTGTGTGTGTGTGTGTGTGTGTGTGTGTGTGTGTGTGTGTGTGTGTGTGTGTATTAGCATATTCTGATCATTCAATAATTTTAACACAAGTCATCTCACATCATATTTCTGGGCACCAGCATAAAAACAAAGACACAAACAAGTAAAAACACCAGACAATGCCAAACAAACACAGCATTGAAATAATCACCATCAAACAGCCTGTATTATCACATCATTGGAGCATATTAATCACATAAATAAAACACCAGACATACACCAAACATCACTTGTATATAATCACATCATAAGTATACACGTACAGCTCTTCAGTACATATCGTGTAAGCTTCACTCTCGGCCGCAATTAATACACAGAAGCTAGTGATTATATTTTCTATTAGTCAATTAACACTCAGTCTTTTCATGAGTGTAGCCGCAGCCCGACGGTAAAAACACCCCTAATATCACTCCCACTCGGCGGCTGGTATGCTAATCCTCCACCAATCAGCACACAGTTTCTTTTCAGCCAGCCAATGAGTAAAAATTTCTCTCTCATTATACCGCCAATCACCGCAGCTCCGAGGAGTGTTGCCTGAGGTATTCCTGCTACCCCAACACACCGACCTGGCTCACGGGTTTAGTCTGAGTTTACCAGCCAGGAAATTTACTTAACTTTTGTAAATTTGGGATAAAATTCATTTGTGAAATAAAATAGTTAATTATCAACGAAAATCACAGATCATATGAATAATAGGCACCCCAGATTAATTCACGTGGTGATTAAATAGCCGAACTTAACCTAATCTAACCTATTGTAACCTAACCTAATGTAACCATGTGAAGATTAGACACCCTAGCTTATTTAACCTTCCAGTATGATTAACGACCTTAATGCTATCTCACGGATTGGTTTAGTTTAGTTGAGGTTAATTTAGAAGGTCAGTTTAAGTAAGGTTAGGCTACGTTAGGTTACGGTACTTTAAGTAATGTTAGATTAGTTTAGGTTAGGTTAGGTCAGTTTAAGGTTTAGCTCGGTTAGGTTAAGTTAGTTTAGGTTAGGTCAGTTTAGGTTAGGTTAGGTGGTTTAATCATCAAGTAAAATAAGTTGGGGTGCCTAATCTTCACATCATCTCCCCCACTAACTCACTCACACTATTCATCACGCAGGTATTCATGAGCGAGACGAGGAAGCCAACGTGATGACACCAGCCTCACCAACCAGCCAGACAAGTAAGTTCCCTCCCTTGACCATTATATAGTCTTCTGTTGTCTGTCTCTCTTTAGGGCATAAAACACCTTTGTAATTGTCGCTCTCATCCTCCCCTCACCCCATTTATTCCTCAGCTTCTCACTTCCCCCAGTCTCCTTACCCCCCCCCCCCTGTTTTTCATCTCCTTCCATGTTCTTGATCTCTACCCTAGCTCCCCACACTCTCCCTCTCCTCAGTTTCTTGCTCACCCCTCCCAGTTCCTCACTCCCAGTTCCTCACTTGCACCCCAGTTCTCACCTTGCACCCCTGTTCTCACTTGCACCCAGTTCCCCACTGCACCCCAGTTCCCCACTTGCACCCCAGTCCTCACTCTGCACCCCAGTTCCCTGATTTGCACCCCAGTCCCCACTCACCCCAGTTCCTCACTTGCACCCCAGTTCCCCACTTAAACCCCCAGTTCCCACTTGTACCCCAGTTCCTCACCCCCCAGTTCCCACGGCACCCCAGTCTCATTGCACCCCCAGTTCTCCCCACTTGCACCCCAGTTCCCCACTTCCCCACCCCAGCGTTCCTCACCTCTGCACCCAGTTCCTCACTTGCACCTTAGCCTCACTTTTCATTCCTCGCCCCTCACCTGCACCCCAGTTACTCACCTCTCCTCACCTCCCCTTCACCCCCAACCCCTCAAACAATGGGTCCCCAACAAACCATTAATTACCCCCCTTTACGATGATATATAAACCCCTTATATAACTCTTAGATCATTGTATTTATTTCCATTAAACTTGACTTGATGGTAATAAGTCTTAACAGGAACAATACACAACAGGTTAAGTAATTAATGACCCTCCAGTGTTCAATAATCCTCTTAATAACCCACTAATTACCTTTATACCTTGTTAGCTGGTCAGGCTCCTATAAATAGATATCTCCTTCATTTAGGCCATTCTTCACCTGCCACCTGGAGCTCTACTGATTTAAGTTCCCTCCAGTGCTCCTCTGTCCGACACGAAGAATAGTATTACCTGAAGATTAGGCTCCCCAGTATTGTTATTTTACCTGGTGATTGAATACCTTGACGCTAACCTAACCTAACCCAAGCAAACTTAATCTAACCTAACCTTTGGGTACATACTGAACAGGAGAGAGAGAGAGAGAGAGAGAGAGAGAGAGACCCTCATTACCGTCTGTGAGTGTCTCGGTAACTCATCCCTCCCCTCAAGATACTGGAGGTAATCACAAACTTTTCAAGGTTAACAAGAATAAAGGAAAAACCAAAGATAAAATAATGGTTCTGGTAGTCAATCAATGCCTGGGTGTTCATCAAGCTGTCATTTAAACACACAAGTTCTTTCCTCACGTGATATATTGGTGCTTTATAATGGCTTCAAGTCAAATGGACCCCAGTCTTAATAGGCCCCAAGGTGACAAAAGTTGATAGTTGGTCCCTGGTGAAACACGAAACAAACGAATCTGGGGTGAAACATGAAACAAACGAATCTTCTGGGATGAAACACAAAACAAACGATTCATCTGAGGTGAAACACAAAACAAACGAATCATCTGGGATGAAACATGAAACAAACGAATCATCTGAGGTGAAACACAAAACAAACGAATCATCTGGGGTGAAACACAAAACAAACGGATCATCTGGGGGTGAAACATGAAACAAACGAATCATTTGGGGTGAAACACAAAAGAAACGAATTATCTGGAGTGAAACACAAAACAAACGAATCATCTGGGGTGAAACATGAAACAAACGAATCACCTGGGAGAGAGAACCTGAACTTCGACCTTCCAGAGTAAATAACAGGGAATATAAACACTTGCTAAATGGAGAGTGAAAATTAATCTCGCTGGATGTAAATATGTTAAGAGAGCAAACAAGGCTTACAAAGGTGTGTCTTCTAATTTCGCGAAGACAATTGGAATAAACAAATGAAAGTGAAAGTAAATGAAATAAAGACAAAAACAATGAACAAAATTAAATACAGAAAAAAAACATGAAAAAATTTGAAGAAAAAATTAAAAGAAATGACGCACCAAAAACGTTAAAAAAAACGATGAAATAAAGACAAAAACATGAAAATTTTAAGAAAAAGTGAAAAAATTAAATAAAGACAAGAAAAGATATGACAAAAGTAATCTTAATTTTATACCTGGAACACAACAAACAGGTAATTCTCAGGTGTACTGTAAACACTAATTAGCGAAATCCTTTGAAAAGAATGAAAGAAAGAAATAAGATGAAAAAATAATTCTCAGGAGTTATCACCAGAAAATTAGTTCCAGCTTATTTCACCTGATAATTAGTCCCCCAGCTTATTTCACCTGATAATTAGACCTCCAGCTTATTTCACCTGATGCCCCCAGCTTATTTCACCTCATGATTGAATACCCTAATGCTACTGGGAGGTTAGGTTAGGTTAGCACTAGGGTGATTTACGTTAAGGTGAAATAAGCCGAGTGGTTAATCTACAGGTAATCCTTCAGTACATGTAAATGCGAGTAAGATAAAAAAGGTCTTTAAAAGTCTACCTTAATGTAATGTTTACTGACCTCACTTGCATTAAAAATTACCCCCAGATACTTCAGAGTGTGCGCGCGCGTGTGTGTGTGTGTGTGTGTGTGTGTGTGAGTGTGTGTGAGTGTGTGTGTAAAATAGTTACCTCAGTATACACACTTACCTTACCAATTTACGAGGAGGTAATGTGTATATAAATTTTTTGAGGCACCTTGTATATTAGACAACACTATCCAGACAAGTTAGGTGTCAGGGGGTCCACATACAGGCTCTCACTGTGACACCACCACCCATTGACCTACGTGTTGTCAAGGGAACGCCCAGGTGAACAGATCTGACCACAACACCTGTCCCATCTCTCACTTCGACGTATATTTCAGTGTCTCAAAACATCTCTTCATTCATCTACGAGTGTCCAACGTCAGGTTAATACACTACCTCTACTAATAGACTACCTCCACTAATAGACTATCTCCACTAATAGACTACCTCCACTAATAGACTATCTCCACTAATAGACTATCTCCACTAATAGACTATCTCCACTAATAGACTATCTCCACTAATAGACTATCTCCACTAATAGACTTTCTCCACTAATAGACTATCTCCACTAATAGACTATCTCCACTAATAGACTATCTCCACTAATAGACTATCTCCACTAATAGACTATCTCCACTAATAGACTATCTCCACTAATAGACTATCTCCACTAATAGACTATCTCCACTAATAGACTATCTCCACTAATAGACTATCTCCACTAAAAGACTATCTCCACTAATAGACTATCTCCACTAATAGACTATCTCCACTAATAGACTATCTCCACTAAAAGACTATCTCCACTAATAGACTATCTCCACTAATAGACTATCTCCACTAATAGACTATCTCCACTAAAAGACTATCTCCACTAATAGACTATCTCCACTAATAGACTATACTAATATTGATGATTAACTAATGATATATAATAAAAATAAAAGACATTTAC